CACAGCTTTCCGAGAAAAGTAAGGGCGAAAAGTACAGTAACGAAGCCTTTCGATTTTATGAAGAGAAATGGAAAAGAAAGAAGGAAGGAATGTCAGAGCACCACAGAATCGACATTCTCAGTAACCTTGTAAAAATTGCTACATCACAGATGAAAGAGAGGAAGAAACAGAAGTATGAGAGTTTGTTAAAGGTATGACAAAGCTCTTTAACCTATTAATGGCTGACATCAACTTCAATGGGGTCTAGTTAAGAGAAAGATGTTTTCCGTCTTGTCACGAGCGTGGGACAAAGAAAAAATTCCTCATGAGGAATCGAACCTCAAACCTTCGGATTCCGCGCCCCGGTGCTCTACCACTGAGGCACAGAGACTCTAATGTGAGCGAGGTCTATTACGAAGTTCTTAAGGGTTTTAGTTTAGTATACATAATAGTACAATCGCTAACTTTCATCAGTTTTTCACTCTCTAATTGGTTGAACCGAGCAATCTCGCGAAATCTACCCAGCTAGTCTCCTTGTGGAACAAATGCATCTTAGACTTACCAAAAGTGTTATCCTTACATTGTCCAAGCATGCTACATTATCCTTGGTGGCTCAACACATTTTGCTTTTTATTAGCCCATTTACGTTACTTAGATTCGGATTAATGGCGATTCTCTGAACTTTTTTCCGTTTAAATGCTCACTCAGGGAGCCAAACAGAGCGGAACTTTGATGGGAACCGTGAAAGGATTTCTTTCTCATGGAGCAAAAGGTATTTGATGATGGAATACTTTGACCATAAGTCGCGCATATATTAAATAATGAAAGACAAAGGCGGTCTCTTGAAGACAATAGTTAAAAACGCCCGCAATTACACTTATAAAAAACGTGGTTAAAAAGGATTTTTTATATAAGTATAGTTGCAGGCTTTCTTTTTACTAATATGTCCGAGAGAACGCGAGTGTCTTTCGTTATTTATGAGCATGGTTGATGTTTTGTAAGGTTCGTCTTTCCACGGGGCGTAGGCGAACGATGCTTTATTGTAATTGTTTTGAAAAATGCAGGATTTGCTTTTCACTGGTGAAGTCAAGTAAAAAAACTTTGTTATTTTAGAAGCTGAACAGCTGTTCAATGAGGACGATGACGGTGACAACGAAGTTGACATTCCTTCCGATGATGATGATGATGATCACGATAGTTCCCATGGTAGCGAAGAGATTCCAGAGGCTGGTCAGCAAGTGCAACAACTAGCAATTCAAGAAGAAGATGACGAAGAGTTAAAAAGTGAGCAGGAACAAGATCCAGATAGGATAAAGATACACGAGTAAGTGGAAATGAATGAGTCGCTTGCGTTTGCGCAATGATTTCTGGAATCGCCACGGGGCAAACA